GAAGATGTTACCTAGCCGGGTAATGAAACATTTGCAAGAAAAGAACCAAGCTCAGAGAACCCCAAGGACTCCACAATTTTTATTTTTAATATAGACTAGCATATTTTTATATTTTGAGAAAAAACTTTAAGCCAGAGAGCTAGGAAAAAGTTTTCCCAAGATTTTAAATATATTTTTCTTACGTCCATGAAATCTCTCTGATTTTTCAGCTGTCTTTCAAGAGTTTCCATTTGTTGTCTTAGGTCAACAACTTCAGATGTCATTGCAGCTAGATTTTGATTTTTGTTTAGCTGTTCTTCAAGTTCAATCTCCATGATTTTCATCTGTGTATTCAAGTTTGAACAATCTTTCTCTGCTTGACACTGCAGTTCTAATTTTGTTTTTGCTAGATGCTCTATCTCCTTGATTAATTCTAATACATAAAGAAAAAACAGCAATACCAAGATGTTTCAACATTCATATGAAAATTCTTTTAAAACAATTACTGCACCATAAATTAACCTTTTTTTGAACAGTATACCAGAATTATAATTATGACTGAGATTGGCATCTAGCATTGTCTCAACAAGGTCAAGAATTGACTCCAAGTAGTACAGGGCATAGGAGTCTAGCTACCATTTTTAATTGGTAAAATATTCTGCAATATAGCTATACTATGCAGATTGTGAGAAATTAATGTGGCAGCTCACAGCCACCTACTTCTGCTGCCTATCATCATTGCCAGGTAAGCCCACAAGGATCAGGGGCAAAAGAGGGGGTCAACCAGAAGAAAACTTGACCATAGCTTTCAAATTCTCAAATTTCAGTCTGACTGTGAAAATTTTACCCCCACTTTCCCCCAAACCCGTGCATAATCATGTCTATATGATGTGGGTTACAATGCAGAGGAATCTTTCAGGAAATGTGTAATCTCATTTTATTAATTCATGAATAAGAAATATTACTTCTGAAATGCCAGTATAAATAATGCTTGTACTGCAGCTTAACCAACATAAAATTATTGCCTACTTTGGTTTTAAGTAATTTTTTAAAAATACAATCCAAATTACTTTAAAACTGGCAGCAGTCTTATTCTCCAACCAAGATTTATGCGTATTTAATATATTGAGTAAGATATATTTCATTTCTTACCAACTTCTCTCTCCCCCACATTGGCAGCCAAAGCTCTATTTTGACTTGTTAACAATTTTTGTTCCTCTACAAATCTTGCATTATCCTGGGTTAACTTTTGAATCTGTGCTTTAAGCTTTTCCAATTCTGCAACAAGACGATGCTCAGATTCTTCTTTAAGATTTAAAGCTTCTTCCAAAGTATGTCTCTCTGTTAAATAACCTTCAATGAGACCTACAATTCAAACAGCATAAAAATGTTTGATTTTTTTACTCAACACTGAAAGAATTTATGCAAGAAAGTACTATAATAACTGTTGCAGCTAAAATAGTAGGATTCTACAGTGCAAGGAGACTATTTTTAAAATGTCAATTTTACTATATGTAATGGTTTACCATCTCTTCTAATTATATCAGCATTAAAGCACTGGCTGGGTCTGGAAGGCAAAATAATCAGCTTAGCACATGAAGGTTTTTTTTCTCCATCCAAGATATTGTGCTCTGCGGTAGTACAGCATCCACAATCGAAATACTCCTCCCTTAAAAATGCCTTGTTGTTAGTTGCTTCTGACTCTTTTTGATTTGATAGACATAGTTTAACCAGGATTGTCTGTCACTGGCTGCTTCTGCCGGCATTGTCAATTACAGTTCTCTAACCACTTTGGCTTCTTTTTCTATTGCTTTAAATTTTTCCAAATACTGAGGTCTTTTCCAATGATTATTGCCTCTGAATTATGTTTCCAGAATATTTAAGGTTTTGCTTCATTATTAGCGTTTCCAGTGAGCATTCTGGTTTTACATCACCCAGTACTGAATGATCTTATGGTCCAAATATTCTCAATTCCCCCCCAGTTTTTCTTCATTCTGCCTTTCTGATGGTTCGTTCACTTATATGGAAGTGAACTTATTATTACAACAATAAAAAACATGGCCTTGACAATATAAACTTTTGCTGTCAATATGTCAGTAAAGAACAGAATGGACCAAATTTGATGTGATGGGAGAAGCTACTAAAAGAAATATTGAATTTAAAAATGGGCTGGATCTGGTTGTGGGCTGCAGAGAAAAACACTGCAGAAAATATTTCAATGCATCCCTATGGAAAATGCAGTTAGGCAGCTACCCAAATTGCTGACCCCTCTGTTTTGTGATCAAAAAGTCTCTTTTCCCTCTGATCACATGAGACTGGAACATATGCAGCCTACTCCATGTTTCTCAAAGTGCACATACTCACAAATACATGCAAAGAGGGGGGGAGAGTAGAAACACACAAATACACAATGCACATGCACTTGCCCTGAGTAGTCCCTCACACAGAGACACACCCAGAGGGAACCCCTACGAATCCATCCTGATTAGAGTTTCATAGCCACAGGTAACATGCATACACACTCACTGATTAGTCCTCGGAATAGAAAGTGCACGTAGATGCAACATGTTACTTTGTTCTATTGAAATAATACAGACACCTCACCCTGATGGCTACTTCTGGTAAAGGGGGGTGGAAAGGATTCCAGAAGCCATGCTTTCCCCATCTTCTTCATTAATTGACAAATTAATAGGTTATATTTATCAGGAATAATTCAGTACTCAATTCTTTCTACTTACATTTTTAACTGTACTTGTACCATCAAATTATGTGGATAAACAGGAGAATGAATCGGATTATGTACAGCAGTGATTCTCAACCTTTTTGAAGCTGCCGCCCCCCTAAGGAGCGGAAAACTTTTCAACGCCACCCTTTGGGGAGGGGGGGGAGTTACTGAATTATAAAAGGCAAAAATTTTAAGTAATTTTTTTCAGTAGACT